GTGGGGTGGGGGTAGTAGTACTTGCCCCGTCATTTTTGACAGGCTATATAACGCTAGTATATAACATTGAACACACGCGAGTAACATAAACAAATTACCAACTTTGTCATTATAACACTAGATGGCGCCTCAAACAGAGGTATAGTTTATTTTGTAGGTTGTTGCCCAGTTCGTCAAACCTTGTACGTTTTTCACACATAATAACTTTGTCTCATAAATTCAGTTTTTATATACACTTGTTACCACTTACAAGAATTATATTATATGACAGCAAACCAAAACCAACTGCTCATCACCTCTCTCGTAGACAGTGTAAATAGAAATATGGACACGTTTTTTCAAGACATCGATTCCTGTTGTATTAATCGTGACGTCTTTTGCGTGAATGGTTTGTCGTAGAAAGTTAGTTACGTCATCAAAACATGGAAACCTTAACTGGAATTGACGTACAATTTTATAGTCCTGAATGGTTCGTCATTAAACGGCTCTTTATCAAGACACACACAAAAAAAAACCCTACTTAATCGTAACTAGATTATCACGATTGTTGACGTTATTGCCAGCACTACTGATAGTCAGTGTATACAAGTCAGGAAAAAAAATCGTCGCAATACGGACAGGCTCCCGTATTTAGTTACAGTACGTGGGTAGACTGGATTTTTGAACGTTTTAATTATGTTTCTCTCTGTGTGCGTTTCATAAAAGTAAAATAAAATAAAAAGGAAATTTCCGGCTTTTAAATGTGTCACTACACAACGTTTTACTTACTTAATCCGATAATATCATGTGTCACTACACAACGTTTTACTTACTTAATCCGATAATATCACGTGTCAGTACACAATGTTTCACTGATTTAATCCGATAATATCACGTGTCAGTACACAATGTTTCACTGATTTAATCCGATAATATCATGTGTCAGTACACAATGTTTCACTGACTTAATCCGATAATATCATGTGTTAGTACACAACTTTCACCAAGTTAAGTTGTCAATATCAAATGTCACTACACAACATTTTACTGAGCTAACTCAACATTGTCAATTGTGACACTAGACGATGGTGAGATAAATCATTGCAAGGTTGTGTATTTTCTTTTTTCAATAAATCTCAAGTAGTACTTGTATAGCACTTTTCAGACCTTATAGAAATTCTTGATTTCGTTTGGTTTGAATTTCGCACAAAACTACACGAGGTCTATCTGCGCTAGCTGTCCCTAATTTAGCAGTGTGAGACTAAAGGGAAGGGTTAGCTGGTCATTATCACCCACTGCAAACTCTTTGGCCACTCTTTTACTAGTGGGATTGACCGTCACTTTATAACACCCCACGGCTGAAAGGACCAACATTTTTGGTGGGACGGGGATTCGAACCGTGATTCGCCGTTTGCGAGTCAAGCGCCCTGACCACCTGGACATAAAGGGTCATAGAAACGATTAGCTTTGTCATTTAAACAAACGACAGCAAATTCACGCTTATATATCGTACCCTCCCTCGTAATATTACATTCTAATACAAACGTTAGACAGATGTACAAAGTAATACAAACGTTAAACAGATGTGATATTATCGGATTAAGTAAGTAAAACGTTGTGTAGTGACACATGATATTATCGGATTAAGTAAGTAAAACGTTGTGTAGTGACACATGATATTATCGGATTAAGTAAGTGAAACATTGTGTACTGACACATGATATTATCGGATTAAGTAAGTAAAACGTTGTGTACTGACACATGATATCAGATTAAGTAAGTGAAACATTGTGTTTTGACATTTGATAGTGTTGTTGTAAAAGTTCTGTCCCATGTTTTCTACTTTTGATGGTATCTGCAGCACTTGTGTCCAAAATGAACAGACAGAGGCTGAATGTTATCCACTGGGTCCTCTTTCCTAGTCTGATTATGAATTCAAGGCTGTTGGATCTCATCGACTGAGCTATGCCAAGCATTGTCTCTGCAGATTAGTGACACTTCTGGACCATTCCGGCTAATATTACTAGTTCTTGTAGTCACTCTGAGAATTTACACAGAAAGATACAAGAAAAACATTGGCTTTCTGCTTCATACTTCAGTGGATTTTCATCACAACATTGGTGAGAAGAATCTCTTCATCTTCATAATCTTCTTCACAAGCCTCTCTGATCACTTCACCAATGTCATTTTTAAATGTATGCAACACATTGCAACCCACTTTACTGGATTTGGGGTCTGGAATTTGTGCCAAAATTTTGTCTTTCAGCTCTTTTTGTGTGTATTCTTCTGGTAATTTGAGTGGACATTTCTCTAAGCTTTTAGCCATACAAATCAGGAAAGAAAGTCATCTTGGATGTCAGAGTGGATTCCTTAAAGCGTGCACTTAACGTGAGCATCAGAGTCCGTCTTTGCCTCTTTACAAAACTGTCTCTGTTATTGAGCTTTGTTAAACTTATATGATGTAATGCTTCTTGTGCAGTTAAGTCACCAGCAGAGAGCTTGACCAATAATATTTATATATTGTTTAATATTAGTTATGTATATTTCTCAATCAAGAATTTGTTCAAGTATAATTTCTTGATTTAATAAGTTTTCCACTGTAATGTTGTATTTGATATTTTTAGTTAATTTTATTAAGTAAAAAATGTGTCATTAATCTGTAGTGGAAATACCAATGTATTAATTGGTTTTATGATTTCTAGCCTAATGCAGAACAAGCTGACAGCCCAGACGGAGGAGATAAAAGAAAGAAAAGATGAGATTGATGCCTTAAAGGAACAAATTGACAAGGTGAGTTTCGTGGTTATATATTAACTCTATCAATGCAGTCTTCAATCCAACTCGTTTGGTTAAGTAAGTGTGCAGTAAGCTGATCGAGAACTTTTTTCTCTAGTTTACTCGTGTATGAACACGATTACTGTCCACTAGCATGATGTGCTTGTAACATTTAAACAATTTTGTGTAACTCGGTTCTTTATGTGGGTATTTGCCTTATCTGTATAGACTTGTAGGTACAATTGTTAAATCCTCATCAATCAGGTTTTAAACAATGACTGACTTGCGTCACTTAGTCCCTGATGTGTGTGTGGATAATATTTTAGAATTTTAAGTGCCACTGTTAAGGAACTCTATTCACTTAGGAAGCAGCTTGTTAAGCTTGTGAAAGTAGTTGTAGTTATTTGGTAGTGGGTTCCAAGTGGTGTTCAGCTGAATTGAAAAGATTACTAGTTGACTGTTTAATTTGCTGTAGGGGCTGGCTTTGACGTGCATTTAGTCTCTTAACCAATTGTTACTCAAGAGCTTACTGCAATCTTTGAACCACAGCTCTTAATGTGATCGGTGATTGTGGACTCAAGTTGTCATTGTTATAGCACATGTTTGCTGTCTTTCTTAAACAATGATTCTAATTACATACAAGTATGGAAGCCAAAAAAAAAAGATGTATAACAATTGCAAATTGTATATTTACAGAAAATGTGAACAGTCTTTTTTTTTTGCCTATTCATATGTTTAATTGTAGGTTCCATTTATAACCCATTCATATGTTTAATTGTAGGTTCCATTTATAACCTATTCATAGGTTTAATTGTAGGTTCCATTTATAACCTATTCATATGTTTAATTGCAGGTTCCATTTATAACCTATTCATAGGTTTAATTGTAGGTTCCATTTATAACCCGTTCATATGTTTAATTGTAGGTTCCATTTATAACCCGTTCATATGTGTAATTGTAGGCTCCATTTATAACCTATTCATAGGTTTAATTGTAGGTTCCATTTATAACCTATTCATAGGTTTAATTGTAGGTTCCATTTATAACCTATTCATAGGTTTAATTGTAGGTTCCATTTATAACCTATTCATAGGTTTAATTGTAGGTTCCACTTATAAATGAACTGCTGTAAAAGAATGGTAATTTCCAATTTTGTTTCTTTGTATATAAATTTTTGTGATGTTTTGAACAGGAAGTGTTTGATGTGATTAATCGTCACTAGTAACAAACGTGGAAAAGTGATGATTAAGTCTGGGGCTACTGAATATTTCTCTGGTTTATTCTATTCTATGTTCTTCCAGGAAATACAATACTCGTTAGTTCAGTTGTCACAAATAAAGGGAAAATATTTCTTGGCTTGCTTTTTAAAATGCGGCTCTATTACATACAATATTTACACAAGTTTATCTTTTATTTCCACTGAGAGATTTCTGATAGCCTTCGTAACATTTTACAGTTGGACTTAGACCTGTTTCAGCAAAAATATTAAACCTTTCTCATTTGTTCAGGTTAACTCTCTCCGACCCTCGAGGGAATAATTAGTAAGTTTAGATTGTCAAGCTTTTCCATTTGAGGGTGTGATTCATATGTCCTCATGGAATGCATAAGTAAGCGATTAATCATTACCCCAAAATAAAATGATGGTCCAACAAGTTACTTTGTATTGTTGTTTTTGTTGGACTTACACAGATTTTGTGAGGGAAATATATTTTGACTTAATATACACTTAGGAAAAATACATTTTAACAGAAGCTGTACAAAGGGCTGAAGATTGCCGTGAAATTTCTATAAATTTCACACATGTAAATTCAAAGCTTTATATTGATCATGATTTGACAGAAACCCATCAAATTATAAAATGTGCTTTGAAATAAGTTTATTGCGGTGCAGAGTTGCACGAAAAATAAAACATTGTTCGCTTGGGTATGGAAAAGTGATCTTGTAAAATTAATTCCGAAGAAGCAATATTATAATACACAAGCAAAAGTACCCATCCCCGGTGAAGGGAAACATTGAAATTAATCAAACAAAAGTACTCGTCCCCAGTGATGGGAAAAGTTTAAGCTAATCAAGCAAAAGTACCCGTCCCCAGTGATGGGAAAAGTTTAAGTTAA